GTTACTAAAGAGAGAAAGGTTCAATTTCTTTCTTATATTGTTTTAGAAAAGGCTTAAAATTTTCAATGGTTGGAATATTTCCTTTGCTTCTGCAAAGCCAAATTTAGAATCTCGCAAGTAACAGAAGAGCTTTGTTTTTGGAAGTATGATTTTACAGGAACGTGAATACTTTCAGCTGACCTCAACAAAATCAGTCATTTAAGTTAGACTTGATACTGCAGAACTTTAGCCAATACAGTAGTGGGCAAATTGAAACTGACAACAACTCATCAATCACTTTTAACTGTTGACATATACAAGAAATAACTTGAGGAATGAATTTTATCTCAGCAGCAATGAACATCTTCTGTTATCTTGCATGATAAATACATTGTAAAGCAGTCTGGTGATGAGGAAAAAGAAAAATAGTAGACTAGCGAACATTGTCTGGATGTGAGTCCAAAGTCTCAAACGTAACATGTTGGGAAATGTATGGCTTTCTCTTAGACGAATTAACCAATAGATCTTGGGATTAAAAGTGTTAAGACTGACAAGACAAACAACAAACCAGACTTGTGATGAGAAAAGGAAAATGGTAGACTAGGGCAAATTCTCATAATGTAGCATGTTAGGAAATGTATGGCTCTATGTAAGGAGAATTAACCAATAGATCTTGGGACTAACAGTGTTAAGACTGAGAAGACAAACAACAAACCAGACTTGTGATCAAAAAAGGAAAATAGTAGACTAGGGCATATTCTCATATTTAACATGCTAGGAAATATATGGTTTTCTCTAAGGAGAACTAACCAATAGATCTTGGGACTAAAAGTGTTAAGACTGAGAAGACAAACAACAAGGAAACCAGACTTGTGGTCAAAAAAAGGAAAATAGTAGGCTAGAGCATATTCTCATATTTAACATGCTAGGAAATATATGGCTTTCTGTAAGGAGAATTAACAAATAGATCTTGGGACTAAAAGTATTAAGACTGGGAAGACAAACAACAAACCAGATGTGTGATGAAAAGAAGGAAAATAGTTGACTGGAGCAAATTCTCATATTAAAATGCCAGGAAATGTATGGCTTTCTGTAAGGAGAATTAACCAAGAGTTCTCGGGACTAAAAGTGTTCAGACTGAGAAGACAAAAAACAAACCAGACTTGCAATCAAAAAAAGGAAAATAGTAGACTAGGGCAAATTCTCATATTAAAATGCTAGAAAATGTATGGCTTTCTGTAAGGAGAATTAACCAATAGATGTTCGGACTAAAAGTGTTAAGACTGAGATTACAAACAACAAGTAAACCAGAGTTGTGATGAAAAAAAAGGAAAATAGTAGACTAGGGCAAATTCTCATATTAAAATGCTAGGAAATGCATGGCTTTCTGTAAGGAGAATTAATCAAGAGATCTCAGGACTAAAAGTGTTAAGACTGAGAAGACAAACAAGTAAACCAGGGTTGCAATGAAAAAAGGAAAATAGTAGACTAGGGCAAATTTGCATATTTAACATGCACAAACTGCTGATAGTTAGGTGAATTTACAGGGTCATGAATACTTTCAGCTGACATTGAGATAAATGGCTTAAGTTAGAGTTAATACAGTAGAACTTTAGCTGATTAATGCAAAAGTGGGCAAATTGAAACTGATATTAACTAATAAACCAAGTAGAAAATTGTTATTCTAGAGAAAACCACACATTCAAGATGTCTCTTCTCATCTGATAAGCTATCCAGTACCAGTTATGCTTGTCTTGTCAGTCTTGACACTGAAGATCTGTTCACTAATTCTCCATACTAAAAACCCATACATTTCCTTGCCTGCTGGATCTGAGAATTTTGAATCACTGATTGAGACAATTTCCCCTGTCCACTATTTTACTTTTGTCATCGCAAGTCTGATTTACTTGTTCTGCTTGTCTTGTCAATCTTAACACTTTTAGTCCCAAGATCTGTTGGTTAATTCTCCTTACAGAAAGCCTTACATTTCCTTGCATGCTAAATTATGAGAATTTGGAATCACATGCAGACAGCAATGTTCCCTTGTGTACTATTTTCCTTCTTTCTCATCACGTCTGGTTTAATGTGTAGTTATCATTTACTGAAAAGTGGTACTGTATGTTCTACTCCTAAGGGACGAAGGGTCAGTAGTCGCAACATTGTGTGAAGTGTGATCATTCATCAAGTCATTTGTCAATGGTAAACAATGATTGTTAACTTTTCAATAAAACATTGCAGAAAATGCTCTGATAACTAGGTGAATTTAAGGGTCATGGTACTTTCAGCTGACCTCATGAAAACCAATCATTTAAGTTAGACTTCATACTACAGAATGTGAGCTAATGGAATAGTGGGAAATGGGAACTGACAACAACTGGTCAATCTTTGTTAATAGTTGACAAAGAACAAAATTAAGACATGATCAGTTATCTAACTTCGCATAAGGCTGTGACTGTTTACCCTTTCACTCTGTTAGAGTGATGAGACTAAGAGACATTGTCTAGATGTATTTTCAAATTCTCCAAACTAACACACTGGGAAATGCATGGCTTTCTGTAAGGAGATTGCAACTAACAGCGGCAAGACTTTCAAGACAAGCATAACTGGCTCCATGGCTCTTGATTTGTGTGTAGATACATGTAATTCAAACCTGTTAGAACCTATTTTTAGAAGTAGTTGTCTACACCTTGGCTAGTTTTTAACCAACATATCTTCCAAACCCATAGGGTTGTCTTAGTATACACTCATTTTTTAAGCTAAGTTGCCTTTTTCGCTGTCAGTTTGCATACAATTATTTTTATACTTTTGCGGAAAAAAATGTTTAAGTAATAATGATAACATTAAATACATCCCTACTGAGTATAGTGGATCAACAACTCAAATATTTCCAAATGGGTGGGTCAAGGAGGTTGGTAACAGTTTCAAGTACTTATAAATAATGAAATGACAGAAATGGTACCAAATGCTTTCTGATGAATACGTTTTGGTCATCCTCTTGACATGACAGGTTACTATTTCAACAAAATAACCTGTTAAATATATTCTTAATTTTAGCTTTAAATGTTTAAAATTTAGGAACAAGCTCAGTGACAGTCGTTTCTCACTCTTAGGGATCAGGGTATCATAGACACTTTATAACTTTTGTTTCAAATAAAGATTGTTGTGTTGTTGTGTTTTTCCTAGGAGTACACGTGAATGGCATCAAGCTGTGAGTATCAGGTGCACATGCCCTTGATGCTCATAGCTTAAGCAAATATTTCGTGTTCACTCCTGTTGATTTTGGGAGGAAATTGGGATTGTTAAAGCCTTGCTTTAGCATTTTTGCACTAGGATGGTTTTCTTGCACAAGTGAAACTTGAAAAGCAAAATTACATTATAGATTTTTTATGCTTTTTAGGGTGCGTTTCTGGAGCAATTCAAGATTGAATACTTCAATGGATAAACAGAGTTTGTGTTTCTTTCCTTAACAATTAATTTAAGATCACTCGGGTCATGGTGCATGAAAGGAACCGAAGAACAGTTCTTCAATTTCTTTGATGCACCATGATCCAAGTAACCTTGGATCAATTGTTAAGGAAAGAAATGCAAACTCTGTTCATCAATTCAAGTATCCAATCTTGAAAGAAATGCAGTTTTTATAGTAAATGGTTTGAACCTAGGAGTATCAGTAGTTCACATAATGTGATTGTCCGGGTAAGGGTAGTTCTGAAAAGAACTATTGTTAGTGACTGAGGTTTCAACAACCTGGGTGGAAGTAATCTTCAGAGTCAAGTGAATAGTGTTGGTCAGTCAATGATGTTATAAGTCGGGTCTGTTAAACGTGATTGGTCAGTATCGCCATCACTGTATTGGCTGAAAGACTCATGTAAAGTTTGTCATCAGCCATTGGTGGGTTTCAATCTGTCTATAATTAGTCAAATTGGCCGGTTTTTGGTCCGTCTATTGTTAAGTCGGTCTGTTGGAAGTCCGTTTGTAAGGCGCCGGTAGTTGTTGACATCTGTTAAGAGGTGTTTGTTCTAGGTTAGTGTACCAGCTTTCCAGAGTTAGTCATTGAAAATAATTTGTACTGTAGGTTAAACACTGAGCAGAGTCCCAGTCAATGGTTGTGCTTAACCTACAGTACAAATTATTTTCAATGACTAACTCTGGAAAGCTGGCACACTAACCTAGAACAAACACCTCTTAACAGATGTCAACAACTACCGGCGCCTTACAAACGACTTATCCATGATGGAAACGAAACCGACACACAGACTTCTAACAGCCTG